GATCCACCCGCCTCGGCCTCCCAGAGTGCTAGGATTACAGGCTTACTTACTGTTTTAAAGAAGACAGAGTGTATTTTGCTCTCAAGCTACCTTGGTTTCTTTGTATGTTCTTTTAGACCTTTCACTTGACTATGCGTCTCTGCCAGCAAATCTTCAGTTCTCTCACATAATGCCACTTCCTGACGACATCAAAGGCTCTTGCTTCCAAAATGGGAATAAATGGAACCATGAACCCTTTATTGCTCCAGAAAGATTTGGAAACAGCAGCGTAGGCTTTGGCACTAACTCCCATTCCCAAGCACCAGAGAAAGTGACGCTTCTTGTAGATGGCACACGTTTTGTTGTGAATCCTCAAATTTTCACTGCTCATCCGGATACCATGTTGGGAAGGTAAGCGATGATAATTTTCTTCCAAATTCACTCTGTTCTCTATACATAGAAATATCTCCTGTTTATCTTGCATTATGTGTGAGGATAAGAAGCATTGCATTGCCCATTTTCCTACCTTCACTTTGTGAAAAAGGGAGGGCAAGCTGGTAAAAGCCTAATATGTGTTAGTGATTTGGGTGAGAGGGGAATGTACTTATTTCATTTACAAAGCCAGTATAGTAAACGAGCCTCCACAAAAGGAAGTAGAATCTAGTTGAACTGTAAAACATAACCTGCTGAATCTCATTCCCCACTCCTCTATAAACTCACTCTAAAGTAATGTTTTTGGCTAGGCGCAGTGGCTCCAGCCTATAATCCCAGCACTTTAGGAAGTCAAGGTGGGAGGATAACTTGAGGCCAAGAGTTCATGACAACATAGCCTGGGCAACACAGCGAGACCCTATCTCTATTTAAATAAGAAATTTGTCAGGGGTGGTGGCATGTGCCTGTAGTCCCAGTTGCTCGGGAGGCTGAGGTAGGAGGATCGCTTGAGCCCAGGAGTTTGAGGTTGCTGTGAGCTAGGCTGACGCCACGGCACTCTAACCCGGGTGACAGAGTGAAAGTCTGTCTCAAAAAAAAAAAAAGAATCTTTTCTGAGTTCCACAGGTCAAAGATGCTGGGGGGTAAGGTGAGCCCTAAGTTTTGTTTAAATAAAAAACAGAATTAGATGAATGTTCCACATGACACAAGAACAAAGCCATTTTACTGAAAACATTTTGCCTGCCCTCTATTGCCAGTTTTATGCTTGGCAGTAGATGCTCTGCTGTTATTTTCTGATGCCTCCATGACTGTTCAGGTTGCTTGAAATGGAAGGTTTATATCTAGCTGTTTTGTTTTTCGTGTTTCATGTTGCTCTCTTTATTCTTCATGGTCCACTCTCTGTGCTGCTTCATTCAAACTTACCCTCCTCTCTCAGTCTCCAGCCCTCAGAATTTCGGAAATGAAAGTAGGTGCTAAGGAGGAGTACTGTCCAGGAAGTAGTCTTGGAGCCTGGGCAGGGAGTTAAGAGATTCTCTTTTCTTGCCAACCATAGACCTTAACCTGAGGAAGAGCAACTTGGGATAAGAGTAAAAATAATAATAATGATAGTGTTTGTAGGTTTGACTTTTAAGGATTTTCATCTACTTTTATTTTGTGTAAAGATCTAACCTCAGGACTTTGAACAAATTCGAACTAAACTGGAAGTCAGAATGGATCATTCTAATATGCTGAATTCTAGGCTGAATGGAATCCAGCTATTTAGATATGTGTATATTTGAACTTACAAATTCACAATGAACCGTTTTTAGCTACAACCAAACCTGTCTATGTATTACTCAAACATCTAAAGTAAGATGAAAGTAGAACATTAAAATATTTTCCATATTGGCTCTGTATTTTATCAGGCTCGACTTCCTGTTCTTAGTTTTGGTATCTCCACCATTGCCTGCCCTCCCCGCCCCCCCAAAAAAAGTGTTCCTCAGTGTAGGCTGGCTCTTGCAGGTATGTTGCCTTTGAAAGTAGTGAATAAGAGAAGAAAGGCAAGCATTTTCTGGGTAACAGATTCTCAGGTGACACTGGTTCTTTGAATCTAGGAATGGGTTGTCCCATGAAGAGGAGGGTCTGGTTCTTTATCTGGGTGGTTCATTCAGCTGAGTAGGCCAAGGTCACAAATTCTGTGAGTTACTTAGGTTTGTTCTGTCTTGTGGCTGCCTGTCCTGTGGTCACATACAGTACTCATAAGCCTTGCCAGTGCGCTCACAGACGTGGGCCAGTAGTCACAAGCTGAGAGGATGAGAATGGATTAATGAAAATCCATGCCACTACTAAATAAACAACTCTGAGCTTAAGTTCTACCGATGATAGAGGGGATTATATTTCCAACATGTTGTTTACTATTTTGATTCATAGCTCTCTCAGTTAAACTTCAACCAGTGTTCTAGGAAAAAGTCAGCATTCTTAGGAGACTACTTACACCAGGATAGATTTCTTATGCATCGTGCAATGATTTGGAAAGCATGTGATATGGAATCATTTTTAGACCTTTGAAAAGCAGCCAATTCAGGGTGGAGGGTAACAGTTGTGAACAGCAGCGCTTCCCAGCAGGTTAAGGAAGGAAATGGCAGTGAGTCCCCACTGGGAAATCGAATCAGGCTGGCTGAAGATAGCAACGGCCTGCCCTGTCCTTTGTGCTGTCTTCCCATTCCACAGCTCATATGCAAAAGTACAGCAGGAGTACAAGTCATGAGGTCAGTTAGATTGGAGGGGATCTAGCAGAAGGGAGGAAGGACGGGAGAGGCGAATAAGAAAAGTAAGCCCTCCTCCCTGTACCCTCATGACTTCTGAGTCCGTGCCAAGAGCAGACCTGTCTCTCTGAAACGTGTCAAACTGCCGATGAGCCTAATGCTTATTAGGCTTTTCTACTTGACCTGAAAATCCCATTGTCAGAGTTACTCCTTAGATGGAATAAGGCCATTTTTTTTCTAGAGCTCCACTATTAAGACATACCAGGAACGGGAAAGTATTAACGTAGCCTGTCTAATCTGTCAGATTAGATGCTGAAAAGCAAAACTCAGAATACTGAGGGATGGCATACTGGATAGGCAACTGTTGATAGAGGAGGGGAAAGGAATAGGAATGGTCAGCAGCAGAGATGCTGTGTTCCCCAGCTGTCATGTTTTCCAGTGGCCGCCTCTGCAGTTGCTGTTTTACTGCATTTGCTGCCAAAGAAACTCACTACACGTGACCCTGTAGATTTGCTGCTTTGTTTCTCTTTGCACACAAATGTTTAAAGCAATTACTGGCTTTTCCTTTCTGAAGGGAGTTTCCTAAGACTTGAGTTGTCTTATAGGCATTGGGTCGCAGTGCTGTGTTTCTATCTTACACTGTAAGGGAGTGGAATGGAGTATTCCAGAATAAGCTGAAGAAGGGAGAAGTCTCACTGGTGAAGAATCCTGCCTGGAGAAGATAACATTGCTGACTGGTTGTCTTTCAGGATGTTTGGGCCAGGAAGAGAGTACAACTTCACGCGGCCCAATGAGAAGGGAGAGTACGAAATAGCCGAAGGAATCAGTGCAACTGTGTTTCGCACGGTGCTGGTAAGTAGAAAGAAGCCTTTTTTGTTACATCCTCTTCCCCAGGGACATGCATGGTCAATGGCCTTGAGAATTCCATCAGCTACATTACTGACTTTAGGGTCTTTGGTCTCCAGTTGTTTCTTTGTCCTCTTTATTCCTGTAACTTTTAAGTCTGTCGTGCTTGTGTGAGCTCAATCAGTGACCAAGTCTGATTAAACGTGTCAGGATAGCCAGGAGCTGCTTTGCCATCTAGTGAATCATTCAACTTGGTGATAACTGCAGTAACCCATTGCTTTAACAGAACCAAGAATGAATAGGGATGAAGAAGTAATTTTTTATCTTGTTCTTTGCCTACATTTCTTCTTCCTAATCTATTTACAGGATTATTACAAAACTGGTATCATTAATTGTCCTGATGGCATCTCTATCCCAGACCTTAGAGATACATGTGATTATCTCTGCATTAATTTTGACTTCAACACTATCCGATGTCAGGATCTGAGTAAGTACTGGAGCGGCTGCCATCTGCACTAGAGTTGCTGAACTTTGAGTTTGGTGGAAATAACTGATACTTTTTATTACTAAACAAGAGTTTTAAGTGTGGGTTGAAACTTGTCTACAGAAGAAAAAATGTGATACTAATTAACCTATTCCCTCTCTTGCTTCAAAGCACTATGAGGAAGTGGAATAAACAAAGGAAAACAGGTAGTAGTTTCTAAATCTAGCCTATCAGTGAGTGACCAAGTTTACTGCTTCTCTCTTGGGACCTTGGTGTCTCAACTCTAACAGACAAGGATACTGGTTGTCCAGCAGGAGGAAAGGCTCACTAATAAAGTCAAACAGCATAGATTGGTCGGGTGGTTCTTACCATTATTTTTATCATTATTAATTAACTTAGTGTCTTCTAAGTGCTTTATAGATGTGGACTTGCTTAAACCTTGTAAGTTAACCCTAAAAGATGGGGCGATAACCTCATTTAACAAATTATTAAACATGAGTAAATTGAAGAGTGATAGAATATGAAACACGAATTAACAAGGTCAGTTTAATTATCACCTTTGGCAGGAAACAATCTCTTTGCCTTTAAATGTGCCACTTCTCTGGACCTTACGAATGATAACAGCCATTACTTCATCAGTATTCTTCACTCTAGTAATATTTGCATTTGGACAGATAGCATGCTCACCTGCATTTTCTCTTCCCAGGTGCTTTACTGCATGAACTGTCTAATGATGGTGCTCATAAGCAGTTTGATCACTACCTCGAAGAGCTGATCGTGCCCATCATGGTGGGCTGTGCCAAGAAAGGGGAGCGAGAGTGCCACATCGTTGTGCTGACAGATGAGGATTCTGTGGACTGGGATGAAGACCATCCCCCACCCATGGGGGAGGAATATTCCCAAAGTAGGAGCTCCCTGCATGGTGTAGATATTTTCAGCAAGAAACACGCTGCCCAGAGTAGCAGCTAGATTTTAGAACCAATATGAATATCACTGTTGAGTCCATGATGAGCACATTCACCTGGATGATAAACCCCTAGTGATGCAGGTCTAACTTTCATGCTGGGGAATATAGTGAATTTCGTTAAACCGTTCCCTCCTATCTCTGGTGTCTAGTACTGTGTCCGATACTGAGGCAGCACATTAAACGGTGTCATTCTTCTTTTCATTCATTTCATTTTTAAATCCTTTTGAATTGGTAATAATTCAAAATTCAAAAAGAATAAAAGGATATACATTAAGAAGTTTTGTTCCCACCCCTGCCCCATCTCCCCAGTTTTCCTCTTCAGTTTTTTTTATATCCTTCCAAGTAAATTCAGTGCACATACATGAACAATTTTCCCCTTTTTTTCAAATGATACTGTATTATACAGACTATTCGGTACCCTTTCTTACATAAAAATCTTCCACATTCTTTTTTATGGCTGCATAGTATCCTGTTACACAAATGTGCCATAACTGATTTAACCAGCCCTGTTGTTGGACATGTAAGCTATAAATTATAAATGATACTGCAGTGAATATCCTTTTAAACACAAGCTTTTCATATATCTCTACAGAATGTGTCAAAAGCTTTGTGTCTTTATAATTTTGATAGATGTTGCCAAATTATCCTCCATAAAGATTATACCAATCTATACTCAGAAAACAATATATGGCAAGTTTGTTTCCCACACTGTCTCCAAAATGGTGTTTTAAAAATTTGCCGTGGGCCGGGCGCAGTGGCTCACACCTGTAATCCTAGCACTCTGGGAGGCCGAGGCGGGCGAATTGTTTGAGCTCAGGAGTTCGAGATCAGCCTGAGCAAGAACGAGACCCCGTCTCTACCAAAAATAGAAAGAAATTAATTGGACAGCTAAATATACATAGAAAAAATTAGCCGGGCATGGTGGCGCATGCCTGTAGTCCCAGCTACTCGGGAGGCTGAGGCAGAAGGATCACTTGAGCCCAGGAGTTTGAGGTTGCTGTGAGCTAGGCTGATGCCACGGCACTCTAGCCCGGGCATCAAAGTGAGACTCTGTCTCAAAAAATAAATAAATAAATAAACAAACAAATAAATAAATAAATCAAGCAAGCAAGCAAGCAAGCAAGCAAGCAAGCTAGCTTGCCGTGGTGTCAGCCTAGCTCACAGCAACCTCAAACTCCTGGGCTCAAGCAGTCCTCCTGCCTCAGCCTCCCGAGTAGCTGGGATTACAGGCACGTGCCACTGGGCCCAGCTAATTTTTCCTATTTTTAGTAGAGTTGAGGTCTTGCTTTTGCTCAGGCTGGTCTTGAACTCCTGACCTCAAGTGATCCTCCTGTCTCAGCCTTCCAGAATGCTAGGATTACAGGCGTTAGCCACTGCGCCTGGCATGTTTTAAAAATTTTTATCTTTACTACTTTCTTAGTAGGTTAAAAAAAAAACTGTATCATGATCAGCATGAGTTTTAATTTGCATTTCTCATTTCATGAATGAGGCTGAATATCTTTTTAATTTTTAAGAACCATTCTAATTTCCTTTTCTGTTAACACTATTTATGCCTTTTGCCTATTACAAAATTGGATTGTTAGTCTTTTACTTAGTGATTTGCTATTTGTGACAGTTCTTTCTATATATTATATTAAGGAAATTAGCCCTTTGTAATATGAGTTGCAAATCTTTTTCCCATTTGGTTTCTTTCTAGCTTTGTTAAATGGTGGTTTGGGCTATGCAGAGATGTTATTTCTATATAGTCATCAATTTTTCTTTTATGGCTTCTAAGTTTTATGTCATACCCAGAAAGGCCTTCTCTACCCTAAGATTACAAAATTCCTCATGGTTTATGTATTATTTAACATTTAATCTTTGATCTATCTGGATTATTCTGACATGAGAGGTCAAGTATACCTTCCATTAGTTTGACTCTGTTAGCTTATCTCTCTCCTCTTACCAACGTCTTCACGCCATGACTAACTCCAAATTTTTTCTTTTTCAGTTCTTTATAGCTCCAAGCTCTACAGATTCTTCAAATATATCGAGAATCGGGATGTTGCAAAAACAGTGTTAAAGGAACGGGGCCTGAAAAACATTCGCATTGGAATCGAAGGTTAAAAAAAAAAAAAATCCCAGTCAGTGTTCAGGTTGCATGCTTATGGAGTAGGTTGGAAATTCAGCTTCCAGAGGGCCTAGAGAATAGACATACATGAAAATCACATTCCTACTCAAATATGGAGGATTCCTATTTTTGTTTTTATCCTCATATTTCCTTTTTATTTTATCTCCAGTTGAAAATGCTTTAGAACAACCACAGCATTAGGTTCAAGCTTACTACTTCCAGGATAAAGAGGAGTGAAGGCAGCGGACGCTAGTGGACAGATGTAGCAGGGCTTGTGGGCTCACCACATGGTAGGATCATTCTGCCAGCAATCTTTGTAAGGATGTTTCTGGGATCTGGAAGGCTCATTCTGAAAAATACAGCTTGGGGATTCAAAATTTAAGATTATTCCGTACCTTGGAAGAATGTCTGGATATACTGACAGAACTACTTTAAGTGATCTTGAGCAATGGGTCCTAACCTGTGGTCCCCATGGGGACCACAGGGGGTCTCAGAGACTGATTCTTGGAGAATGCTGAAGCCATTCTGGCCTCCCCTCCGTGGATTTTTGACTCTTGCGCTTTGCTGCACTTGCTGCCTCACTTCTGCCCACAGAACCCATCAAACCTTTGTTGTGTCTGACTTAGACTGAAATTTAAGGTGGGAGGAAAATTTTGAGTTTGTCTATTAAACCTCCTTCCCCTATATCTTTCTCTTATCTCTTGGGAAACCCTAGGGATGTAGTGAATAGGGATCAGAACCTTCTTCCATACATCTGATGGATACCTGCCTCCTCCTCCTGCCTGTAGCTTTGGAAGCTATGTTGAATGAGGTCTCTCCCGTTTCCGCGTGAGAGTCTTTTAGGTATTTTAGGCAGCATCTCTGTTTTTTCTTTAGGCTAAACATTCCACATTTCCTTAACTGTTTCTTGTACAGTATGACCTCTAAGCAACAGAATTAGGAGGACTTGAGTAGCCATGCACTGGCAGAATTTTCATCCTACGATAATTGTTGCCATCAACTAAAGGTTCCTAAATTAGTAAAAGGCTTCTCTCCCCCTACCATTAGAAGGGATACAATTTTTTTTTTTTTTTTTTTTTTTTTGAGACAGAGTCTCGCTCTGTTGCTTGGGCTAGAGTGCCATGGCATTAGCCTCGCTCACAGCAACCTCAAACTCCGTGGGCTCAAGCGATCCTCCTGCCTCAGCCTCCCGAGTAGCTGGGACTACAGGCACGCACCACCATGCCCGGCTAATTTTTTATATATAGATGTTTAGTTGTCCAGCTAATTTCTTTCTATTTTTTCAGTATAGACGGAGTCTCACTCTTGCTCAGGCTGATCTCAAACTCCTGACCTCAAATGATCCTCCTCCCTCGGCCTCCCAGAGTGCTAGGATTACAGACATGAGCCACCACACCCAGCCAAGAAGGGATGGGATTCTTGTTACTTCTCTTAGATGAGTCCCTTCTAGGGACAAGACCTAATCTGAGCAGGAGGGAAGTGAGCGTGAAGGTGGTTGGGGCTGGGAAAGCATGAGGCAGGGATTGGACACTTCTCACATCGTTTTTCATGCTGTCTATGGATTTGGGAAAAAATTGATGTGGTTAGCGAGGACACCAGAGTGAGCACAATCTGCCAGTTATGAGAATGGCCTTTTTCTCTGCTTCAGGTTACCCTACCTGTAAAGAAAAAATTAAGAGAAGACCTGGTGGCCGGTCTGAAGTCATCTATAATTACGTACAACGCCCCTTTATCCAGATGTCATGGGAAAAGGAAGAAGGAAAGAGTCGCCATGTAGATTTCCAGTGTGTTCGAAGCAAATCCCTCACCAATCTGGTAGCTGCTGGTGAGGATGTCTTGGAGGACCAGGAGATATTAATGCATCACCCGCCCCAAGTGGATGAACTTGATCGGCTAAATGCCCCACTTTCTCAGATGGCTTCTAATGACTTTCAGGATTAGGGCCAGCTGTGGGTTCACCCCTCACTGGAGCTCTTCTCAGTCTGGGATGCCCACAGCCAGCCCTCCCAGCCTCCCCGTGGTCTGTCTCGCCCCACGCAGGAGATACGCTTCTCCCTCTCCATTTCCTTTCTCCCCTAATTGACGTGTGCTTTCCGGTAAGTCCATGCCTCTGGCAGGGGATGAAGAAGTGCTCACTGGTAATTAAGCTGCCAGCTTTGCAGCAGCCCTGGTAACTTGAAAATTTTGGATCTGGTGCTGTTCACTGAGTCTTTGCATAACTGCAAAAGCAGGAAAGGAAGTCAGGACTCCTGTTGCCCCATGTTTAGCAAAGCAGTCCTTGTCATTTATACTCGCTTTTTGGGTTTTGTTTCCTTTGTTTTTTTTTATACCAGGCAAATTGCTTAGTAGCAAAGGGACCAAACTTAAAAGGAGACAATCTCTATCTTCTAAAAGCAGGCACGAATGGGATGCTCATTAGAGGTTATTGAAGATGCCATGCTTGGTGGCCTGTGTACTCACATTGCATCTGGGGAGAACTAGACTCCCATTCAAAATGTCCAAAAGGAAATTCTTAAGAGCTTAATTCAGTTTTGTTTCTCATTAATGCATCCAACAATCCAAAACACAGATTCCTCGGCAGGAAGGATAATGGAATAACAATGTTTATGAAACCTTTTTAGCTTTCAGGTTTTTGAGCCTAAACAAACTGATGATTCATTTGGAATGAAACTCACAACTCAAGTAGAAGAACCTCTCCCAATCAGGCCAATTGGATTATTGTGGCTTGGAATCTGGTATGAAAACATAGGTTTTGTCACCCTTGGGTGCATATTGCTGTGGGTGTGGCTGGGAGACCTTAAATACGGATTAAAGGCTTTCAAGATGAGGGCAGAAATTTCTCACAAGTGCTCAGTTTCTCAGTAGAAAGACTTGTAAGAGCTCCAAGGAGAGGGTCAAGCCGGGTGGGAAATGTCACCTGCACAGGCTCTGTCTTGGTGTAGGATTTTTCTGAGTATGTAATTTTCATACCATGGATTTTTCTTGATTTTCAGTTATATTTCAGTTTTTGAAATAGCCTAGTAGCTGCTCACATACTGGGTAAGAAAATGCTACTAATGTCATCCCTAAAGGAAGGGTGATTTGAAGGGAAATTAGGCCCACTCATTTCATTTGATCTGTCAGCTGTTAACTGTGTGGTAAATGACAATCCAGATTACTGACTCCATGCTCACCTTCCTCTTCCTCTCTCTGGCTGTTAATAGCAGAGCTAAATTTAGAGTCCAGAGCCAGATAAAAGTATGTTGGTGTCATCTCTCACTTTATAGTAGACGTTGTTGACCTTCCAATCACTCACCTGGGGTATTTACTCATCACAAATTGTGAAGAGGTACATAGTTTCCATTAAGTTCTTTGAAAACATGAACAAGTGGTTTTCTTAAATTCCATTCGCATAAGATAATACAGGTTGAGCATCCCTATCCAAAATGCTTGGGACCAGAAGTGTTTTGGATTTTGGATTTTTTCAGATTTTGGAATATTTACAGAATACTTGCTGGTTGAACATCACACATCTAAAGATCTGAAATGTTCCAAGGAGTATTTCTTTTGAACATCATTTTGGTACTCAAAAGAGTTGGATTTTGGAGCATTTCTGATTTTGGATTTTTGGATTTGGGATGCTCAGCCTGTGTAGGGCAAGCTACTTGATTCCATTTTTATGACTGCCCTAAGTTAAAATCCTCCAAAGATAAAAGTTAGATACGTTGTTGAAAACTCCTCTTTCCAGGCTTGAAGAACAGGAGTGTGCTTATGTTCTCTGTGCATGTGACCAGCATCACAGCGGAAGTCAAAGCTCTGTTGCTGACTTGGAAAAACAACTAGCAGTAAGGGGTTAAGCTGGGCCATCCTGGACCTAGAATTCTTCTGATAACCACTGGCATCCATTTGCAAGGCTGATGGCCACAGGGTCAAGGGTTAGGGTTATTTGTAGCCAGAAGAAAGTTTTATTTCTGTGAAACTAATTGGCTCATATTTGAGGTCAGGTTTGGTCTTGACCTTACCGGCACCACATTCATACCCACTAGCAGTTGGCCAGCCTAGATAATTGTTAAATGGTGCTTTCTTTACGTTTCTCAGTGGACTTCCATGCCATTACAAAGGAAATTTGAATTATCTAATGTTTGTGTATTCTATTATACAGTTTATGTATTGTTAACATTTAAATATAAACATGCCACAGCTAACATTTTAAAACTAATTAGTCCTTGCTTAGGTAAAAAGCCAGATATGAAAGTATGGCAGATACTTGACTCTTCTATGTAATCGATCAGTTTCCTCAGGCTTTCAAGAACGAGGTCTTTTTCCCAAAATTGGGTTAACATGCATCTGTCCCCAACCCATGGGGTGTGAGTAAGCTGGAAATCTGTGAAGGTAAATCTGCTGTTGTTACCAGGTGGTAGTGACTGAAGGAGAAGCTGGGACCACGGGTTCCTTCAGGTGGAGAGGGAGGTTTCTTCTGCACCCTCACTCCGCTCCCCCCAGGTGGAGCTCAGCAGCACTGTAATTTGGTGGCTCCCCCAGCCAGTCCTGCTCTATTCCAGGGTCAGGACATTCCACAATGGCAGGACCTCTCAGTCCCCACAGGAACAAGAGCTGGGCTTTGGTCATCCCCTTCAGAGTCAGTTACTGGCCAGATGGGCAAGAGGCCTTTCTCTCTAATACAAAAAGGTAGAACTCCGGTTTGGTGTTTTTTCTAAGTGCCTAAATAAGTAAGCCAGGCTGTTTATACAGAAACATTTTCATAAGAAAATGGTTTTAGCTAGAGCATCTTAGAGCATCTCAGCAAGCCAAGATGAACCTGAATTTGAGGTTTAGAATCTTGAGTTTGTGTCTGCATCACGTCATGTGTAGTTGATAGGAGACATTCGCCACTGAGGAGTTGGAGAGAAGGCAGGGGACTGTGCTAAGATGTGTCAGGTTATTTAATGGTTTCTCCTAGGTGGAGGAAAGACACTGAAAGTGACAGCAAAAAGGAAAGGAAGACAGCCCTCTCCTCACCCTGCCCACACCATCCCCTTCCTCCCTTCCAAAAAATAAAAAAATGAAGGGAGAGGGAAAGTAGCTGGATTAACTGCACAATATGCAGTAGCCAATATAATTTAAACTGAATCCCAAGAGAACAGTGGGATATCTAATGTACACGTCTATAAAAATACTGCGGAATAAGCCAGGAAGGATAGATGTATTTGCAAGTGCTGTTCCAAAGCATCCTTCTGTAAGTAAAACAAATATTCAGACCACAGGCTTTAACTCATACACAGGTTTTTTTTAAACGAAGTGTCAATAGAAAGTTAAAAATCAAGGGTTTTTAGTAATATATACAATGCCACTTCTTGCCATCATTTTGAAATTATTAAAATAAGCATAGTGAGCTCAGAAAGCAAACCTGATGCCTTTGTGGGAGATGGAGCCACATTTGTTCTGGGTGGGATCACCTCTGCAGGAGAACATTGCATTTTCTCCTAAAGGCAAAATGCTTGTAGGTTTTGCCTCTTTGATTTGTATTTACCTTTAAATTGCACTTGTTCACGACCAGTGTTTACGAAATCCTATATTTGGGATGCTTTTTCTATAATAAAATATTATCATTTCTGTGTCTGTGTTGTTTTCTTAGCAGAAAATAAAATTGAAAATCAAGATGTTAAAAGGGATTTAAAGGGGTGGCACCCAGACTGCCCAGAGCAAAGCCTCTTCCTTTCCTAAAGGAGACATGGACCTTGCCCAGAGCCTGTAGGTGCTTTTCCCACCCCAATTATTTCTTTATAACTCACAGGTTCCAGAGCCCTTAATGGTCTGCCTTCTCTTGAGTTCCTGGTTAACATGTCTTTGAGACCCCTTGAACACAAATCCAACTAAGCAGGACCCCACAAGGCCAAACATAAAATTGAAAGATAAGGGGACCCGTGAACTCCTGTGTTCTAGTTCTGGTTTAAAGCAAGAAACAATGGCAGATATGAAAGGCAGGTACCTCAGAAACACTGCTAGAGTAGATGGCTGTGCCCTTAAATTGTGCATGTTTACTGATGGGAACCATGTACAAAGGTGCTGAGGTTTCTGGCTTGGACATCTGGGCAGACTGAGCTAGAAAAAAGCGTATGGGAGCAAGAGCAGCTCCATTTGGATAGCTTTAGTTTGAGCCCACAGGAGGCCTTTCAGGTGACAGTTTCTAGTAGGTACCTGGTTACATGGGATCTAGAGTTCTGGGGAGGGGTCTAGGTAGATTGGGAAACAGGTCTTTGAAAACCTCACCACAAAAGAGGTAGTTGAAGCCACAATATGGGGAAGGTCACCAAGAGATCACATGAGTGGAAAGGGCAAAGGCATGGCTCTAAGGAGCACCAACATTGGTGGGCAGAGGAGCCATTAAAAAAGGAATCAGAGGCTGGGCACAGTGGCTCATGCCTGTAATCCTAGCAGTTTGGGAGGCCAAGGTGGGAGAATTACTCAAGGCCAGGAGTTTGAGACCAGCCTGAACAATACAGCAAGACCTCCGACTCTACAAAAAAACAGAAAAATTAGCTGGGCATGGTGGCGCGCACCTGGAGTCCCAGCTACTCACAAGGCCAAGGCAGGAGATCACTTCAGCCCAGCAGTTTGAGGTTGCAGTGAGCTAGGCTGATACCATGCAGCACTCTAGCCTGAGCAACAGTGATACTGTCTCAAAAAAAAAAAAAAAAAAGGAAGTCAGAGAGGTGGGAGGAAGAGTTTAATAAAAAAAAGGTTAACTGAGTGCAACAGGTTGATCAAATAAGATGACTAAAGGGAACCCAATGGATATGGCAGAACACCAGTGACAAGAGGAATGATAATTAATACTAGCATGTTTTATACATGGGATGATTAATACTAACATGGTTCACATACGGGACAAACCAGACTGGCGTGGGTTGAAGCGGAAGAGGAAAATAAGGAAGTAACAAAAGTGACCGCGGTGTCCTCCTGCCGTTCTTCACAAAGTAATGCTTACTCGCAGCTCCGTGCCTCTTCCACAGCACAAGAACTTACCTACCAGCTCCAAAATCCTGGAGTGCTCACTTTCCCTCCTGCCAAATCACTGCTACTTAGATGCAAACATCTGGGAAGCCTCCCTAAGCTGCTCACACCTCTGGGTTGGCTTGTCAGCACGGTCCCATCGACACTAATGCAGTCACATCACGTTGGAGCTGCATTCTGTTCAGCCACTTGGTGGGAATTCTCTCCGCAGACTGATGTGCAGTTCAGAACCACGGCGCTCCCTGTCGCATCGCCAGAGTTCTGGGTATCGAGGTCTG